ATATATAAGCAACAGGATGGGAACTTTCAAAAACATTTTCTGATTTTAATTTTCTTCATGTTTCAGATTGAGAAAATTGAAGGAGTTTTATCGTACAGAGACCCTCATTTCTGGAGGCATTCAGCCAACATGATCGCCGGAACCATCCACCTCCAGGTCATGTCTGACGTGGTAGAGCAGAGGATCATTCAGCAGGTTGGCACAAACTCTAGAATTAGAATTAATACTAATGTTTTACTTTACAGCAATGAATCCTATTGTTTGGCGAATGAATACCAAACATTGTCTTGGCTGTTTGTAATGGCACACCTGGGTTATTACTGGGTAGTTACATAATCTATATTAATAAAGCATAGATAAGAAGTACAGTTATATATTTATCCTGTAAAACCTGAACCGTGAAATAATAGCCAGAAAATTCAATTTTAAAAAAATGTAGTTTTTATTGACCCTTCTGACGAATTAAAAACAAAAAAAAGGCTAAATTAAATGTCAGTTTGCATATATGAGTTTTAATTTGTATAATTATTCCAACACTAGGCATTTTTGTACAGTTCATTGCTCAAATTCACTGCATGTGTCAGATTGTAAACATCAGATTATTACAGGGGAAAAAATCACACTGTCTCAAAACCTCAAGCATCAAATCTAATAAACTTGGTGTTATAAGGTTAAAAAGTTCAGTTTGGACAATATTTAGTGACTAAAAAGTAAAAAATAAATGTAGTGGAGGAAAAAAGAATCGAAGTCTTCTTTGCTTCCGGTTTTGATTTCTCCTCCTATACCAGCACTGGTATACTGCAAGAACAAAAGAAAAAAACATCTAAACATTAATTTAAGAATTTATATTCCATTAGAGCATCTGAAGCTTCAAAAAGCATCCATATGGGGGCATTAATACTATATTTTCTCTCACTCACATGCTGCTCTTTTTTTCTGTGTTGTCTTCAGTTAATTTCTTAGAATATCTTCATGCACATTTATTTACTATTAAATATTTAAATGTAAAAAAGAAAAGGTTTTACAGGTACATTTAGGCTAGATTGTTGGCGCTGAGGATTTTTATGGTGGACTGTCATTCTGGTTTCAACAGGTGACCGCCATTTTGAAAGAAGCCGGGGTGAACAATTTGTCAGTGCAGGTGGAGAAGGAGGCGTACTTCCAGCACATGTCAGGACTCAGCACCGGGTTTCACGAAGTTCTGGCGATGACGCAGCAGATGGAGTCCATGAAGTACCTGAACGACGGGACATGCATCATGTAGACCAAAAGAAACGCTAACAAGTCTGTTTTCATTGATATGTACAGTGTACGTATGTGGTTTAAATAAATCTGAATATATTGGTTTTATTTTGCAGTCGTCTTTATTTACCCAATGTCACAATTCAGGTTTTTTGTACTAAAGACTCACAGCACACCAGAGAGGCTATGGGATTAGTTTATCATGTCAAACCACAATTATAATCATATGAATGATGGCAGACACTCTGTCTTCAAGTAAGCTGACATTTTAGCTTTATTCTAAAAGGAAAAAAATGAAACCCAATCAGACTCTAAAGCTAATCTAGGTTTGTTAGTCCGATTGGCTTGAAAGTGATGGAGGCTTTTGTATTCATACCCTAGATGCAGCTAATAAAAGTCTCAGACAAATTAGAATTTCCGTGACCTTGAAGTCAAGGTCAGAGGTCAAGTTTTCTAACTATCTTCTGAATCGATAACTCAAGAAGGAAAAATTGATACCATAGTTGTTTGGCTCGATTCAGCTTTGAAAAGACTAAAAAACTGGAATTTTGGGAAGGATTCTTGCAGGATTGGGTGAACATTATGTGCACACGTCAGGTTAACATGGAAAAACTGGGGAACATTGTCTCGATCTTATCAAAAACAATAACAAACGTAAAACCAGAGTTATGATAAAAAAATATCTGCAATGTTTGGTTTTCTTTCCGAATACTATCGTTGTTTATATTTACTGCGGGAAGAAACGGTAAAAACAGCGTTTTATAAGGAAAACGCTCGAAAGCACTCTCCACCTGTGAGCAAAAACAAAACACCCCACCCTTTCCTATTGGTCGAAAAATGTACCATGTCAACCAATCGAAAAATGATATGGCAACAGTTGTTTAGGAAGGAGGAAGTTTTAGGAGTGTTTTGAGATGTGAGAGATTTGCGACGTTTATGGGAAATCTTGTGTAGTTAGTGTGTAGTGTAGTCAGTAGTTTTGTTGTGTGTGTCAGAACAATGAGGCGACTGCTGAATGTTACAGGTGTTACAGGAGTGAAACATCTCCTGTTGTCAGGCCTGCAGGTATCAGGCTGTTGTTCTCCTTTATCTCATAGTGGAGAGAAATTATTTTTTGGAGTGGCACAAATAATTTGTGTGGCATCAAATTTGATGCAGAACAGCTGATTATTCTGTAAATAGTTTGAAATGTTTATTTAAAAAAACATCTTGGCTGCATTTTTAGGTAAATAGCAGCAAAAACCTTTGCTGTTTGCAAAGCGCAGTAATTTTTTTGAAGAAGTAACTATATAATTAATTGCCCAACATTGGTCATTATATACTGTATTTTGCAGACTGTATTATTATTACTTCCTGTGCATACTACACAGGTCATGAACAAGAATTTTTGTTTAAAATTTTCATTGTAAGTGGGCTAAAGCAGTTAATTAAAAGTAGTCAAACATAAATGCTGTAATTTGATTATTTTAATAAACCATGTAACTTGGATGCTGGCGTGACTACAGTGCACACGTCTGCTGTTGCTCACAGTGGTCCAAGGGACCGCTCAGGGAGTTTGTGTGTTCGCTCAGACACATGAAAAATTGGAGGGAACATTGCTCTGGAGAGGTGTATGAACAAGATAAATCTTCCCTTTGTTTCCATTTTTTTGTTACAGTTACCAATGCGTAAACATGACATCTTGTGTTATTTTTAATTTACTCGCAGGTTACTCTAACAATTCCAGGCTTAAAGCTGGAGCGATCCAAGATTAGCGAAGAACCAGACCTCTGTTACCATGACATCAGGTGGGCGACTTCATACAAGTACAGGATCCATGTAAGGGCGCTTACCTACGCATGCATGTGACCGGTGTGTGTATGAGAATACATCAGCATATCTGGAGTCAGGAATATTCTGGCAGTGCTAATATAATGTCCATGTTCCACTGTAGAATCACCAGTTAATCTGGTTAAAACTGGGGGAAATGGTCATGAGAACAGCCACACTTAAATCCAAAAAACATTTCTATGAAGTCCACTGTTTGGACCAAAGGATTTTAGCTGATTTGCTTTCAGACCCTTCATAAGAATATCTGTGGTAACCATTCATCTGTTCCTCTGTCAGTTAAGGTGATTAATGAACAGGTTGTGTAGGAAAAACAGAAGTGTGGAGCCTCTGATGTAACTTCTTCTTCTTTTTTTTTTAATTTATGAGGTTGGTTCTTACTGCAGACTTAAGGGTTTAAGTTGAAGGCAGCTAAACTTCAGAGCTAATGGGGAGTCTCAGGTATTTAACCTGTAGTGTGGTTGTCACCTTGGAAGAGGTCCGTAGAGTCATTTACCCACCATAAGAATTATTCAGGCGACATGGTTCAAGGTGTGACTGCAGGTTGAATCGCCTGAGAAGGAATCTCAATTCCCTCACACTGTTCCTTTATAAATGACCCTGTATGCTATGCTGTATTCCCACTAGGTGACAGTAAAATACAATATTTCTTGTATCCAACTCCAGGCATCAACAGAGAGAACCAAAAGCAACTCGTGTTAAAGAACGTCCTCGCTTTATTTGAGCAATGAGCATTAATCTAATGCAATACAAATGTGAAGAAAAACACATGCTCACTGCTGCTACAGTGCAGAGAAACGCTGACTGTGAAATGACTGATATGTGTCGCTCCAAGAAAAGAGAAACTACATGAGAAGTTTCCTTTGTCCACATGTTTAGACTGACATGCAGGAGTCAGGACTCAACAACATTTTGAGTTGTCTGTAATGTGCAAAAAACAGGAAGGGGAGGGGGGGGTAAGCATTATACGCCGTTTTCACTCCTTGCACTTTACTCGATCTCATTGGAGGTTCCCACAGTGGTGCTGATCCCCATTTCTGCAGGAAAAAAATTAAGTAAGCAGGAAGTTGTGACAAATCTGAAATCCTTTATTGCATGTTTTCTTTTTTTGTAGGATGTTTCAGTTTGTTTACCTGGGCAAGGTCCACCTTCCAAAATAACATCATCAATGGCAATGTCACTCCTTATTGAAGAACCCCTGATCGCTTCAAACACAATCTGGGACAAAAGGACAAATAAAGTGTTTAGATTAAGAAAGTTCAGGTCAGCAGTGGA